GCTCTTCCTCTTTCCCTTCCTACCCTCTCTCCTTCTCCTCCTCTCCTTCCCCTTCCTTCTTCCCTTACCTTTCTCCTACTCCTGCTCTTCCTCTTTCCCTTCCTACCCTCTCTCCTTCTCCTCCTCTCCTTCCCCTTCCTTCTTCCCTTACCTTTCTCCTACTCCTACTCTTCCTCTTCCCCTACCTACACTCTCCCTTCCATCCTTCTCTCCTTACCCCTTTCTTCTTTCCCCCATCTTCCTTTCATTCTCTCCTCCTCTCTCCCTTTCTTTTCTCCCTCCCTTCTCTACTTCCTTCCTTCTCTCCTTCCCCTTCCTTCTTTCCTTACCTTTCTCCTACTCCTACTCTTCCTCTTCCCCTACCTACCCTCTCTCCTTCTCTTTCTCTCCCTCCTCTCCTTCTCTCCTTACCCCTTTCTTCTTTCCCCCATCTTCCTTTCATTCTCTCCTCCTCTCTCTCTTTCTTTTCTATTATTGTAGGTGTCTCTTTCAGGTCTCAGTTTATGTTTCCTTGGGATGGTATTTACACAAACCCTGATATAATTTAATATCGTTTCTTATTTCCTTACCTTCATTAATCAACCCTAGTTATGCCCCCCCCTTTATATCTCGCTCTTGAATATATACTTATATATTTTATATTTTATACACTGTCGTTTTGAGGGTAAGAGTTGAAACAATTTATGTCCAGGATGTGAGGGGTCTGTAAATATTTTCACTGCCCTCTTTTTGACTCCTGCAGTGTTCAGGTCCTCAATGGAAAGCAGGTTGGCAGTAATTGTTTTTTTCTGCAGTTCTGATTATCCTCTGACGTCTGTGTCTGGCTTGTTTTTCCTTCTGATCTCTCGGTGGGCCAAGGAGAATATTAATTTGCAACATGGCTGATACAGTCTTAAATGCTTTATTAAAAACAGAGAAAGTACTGTAGTTTCTTAGCAAAGGTGTGCTAAAAGTTGCGCCAATTAGCAGGTTCCCAGGGACTGTCAAAGATCAAACTTAACCTAGTTATAAAAGGAACAAACTGCAATGATCTCAAAAGAGAGAGGGAGGGAGAGAGAGAGAGATAAAAATAGGAGGGATGAAATGAATCAGTGATGTGCTTCTGACAAGTTGTGGATTTGAAAAGGACAGGAGTTTATCTGTGGGCTTGTTTAAGACCTACAGTGCACCAGTTGCCCTGACAACGAGCAAATGAGGATTTTTGTAATCCTACAGAGGCTTCCACAGTGGGTAATTTAAAAAAAAGAAAAATTCAAAATGGGAGCCACAAGATAGAAGCCCTTGGGTTTTATTCGGACTGATGTGTTTTTTGACTTGATGTTCTATGTTTTGAAGAAATGATGGTTTAATCCTGTTCCCCTTTGCAAACAGAAAACTAAACCCTTCAAAAAGAAAAAAAATATATAGGTACCCGCTTTCCCTGAAAATAAGACCTCCCTGGATAATAAGCCCAATTGGGCTTTTGAGAGCATGCGCTAAAATAAGCCCTTCCCTGAAAATAAGCCCTCCCCAAAAATATTGCATCACAGCAGCAGCCAAGAGGTGACCACGCTCTCCTCCTGCACCTCAAAAATAATAAGACTTCCCCCCAAATAAGGCCAAGCGCTTATTTCAGGGTTCAAAAGAAAATACGACCCTTTCTTATTTTGGGGGAAACACAGTAGTTCCGGACTCACAAGCACAAATGTCTGTTTCTAAGCGAGAGAGTTAAGTGAATTTTGCCCCATTTTATGACCTTTTGCCAACGTTCCAAGTCATGCATCCGTTGAAAGCAGAATTGCAAGGCAAGTAGATTCCTCAAAGAACAATTTATCGGATACATCATATTGGCACAACTGGTGAAAACCAACTCTGAAAGTTCCCGTGGTTTTCACCTAATTAAAAAGTGAAAGTTCCCCTCCTCCCCTAGTCAACAGTCAGATTGTTCAATAGAGGTACAGGCCAGTTGCTCGGTTACTCTACTCCTCCTCTTCCCCGCCACCTGTTGAAATGTCCTTGGTTCCCACAGTAATTTTTTTTGTTTTGAGTACAAAACCACAGCTAACTATTTCCCCCCCACCGCTGGTCTTGCGGCAACTCTGAAGCAGTAAAGATGGCCTCAACCAGGCTTGCTTCCAGGTTGACACCTTTCTTGCCACAGTTGTTAAGTGAATCACTGCGGCGGTTAAGTTAATAACATGGTTGCTAAATGAATCTGGCTTCCCCGTTGACTTTGCTTATCTGAAGGTCACAAAAGAGGATCACGCGATCCCAGGACTCTGCAAAAGTCATAAATATGAGCCCGTTGGCAAGCGGCTGAATTTTGATCATGCGATCATGGGAATGCTCATGTGGAAAACGGTCATAAATCACTTTTTTCAGGGCCGTTGTAACTTCAAACAGCCATTGAATGAATTGTTGTAAATCGAGAATTAGAACATTTTGTAAATCATCTTAGAAGAAGCTTTCATACCAGTGATGGATTCCTACCGGTTCGGACCAGTTTGGCAGTAGCTTGGCGGCCTGGCTTGCTGGAACCCAAACTGGTTCTCCTGGCAGCGCTGTAGGTGCCGCCATCTTGTTTTTTGCTTCTGCGCATGCCCAGAGCAATTTTAGTTGTACTGTGCATCTGCGCACAGCATGCATCAAGCGCACACATGCACGGGGCACATCCCTGAGCGAACCAACCAGCATTAGTCTCTGCCAGAACTCACCCCTGATTCATACCTCTGATCTAGTGGTGGGAATCAGCCGGTTCGCACCTATTCGAGAGAACCGGTTGTTAACTTTCTAAGCAGTTCGGAGAACCGGTTGTTGGAAGAAATTTTATTTTGTTTTTTTCCACTTTACAGGGCTAATCCTGTAAGGAAGG